TTTTTTTCAGTTTTGTTTCAACTCAGTGCTTTTTGCGTTTGAATCACATCTACCACCTTTCACGTTGATTTATAAATCATCATAGCGAATGAATCGCACGCATTCTCTATTCCCTTCACCAAATGACGGCATGCCATTGGTTCAGAAAAAAAGAACCTTTTTCTCGTTCATTCCTTTGCACTTATTAAGCGAATAATTCTTCGAAAAATTTCAATGCGAAGAGGACTCTTTTCGATGTCTTTTTTTCCTTAACTTAAAAAATCCACAGGAATTTCTGCGTTGAGCTTTGAACATTTGTTGCATTCGAGGAAATGTGCACAAATCTATTCAAATATTAATCTATTCAATGAAATATTGAGGTATCTAGTGATCTATCAATAGAATGTAAGTATATATGCATAACGGAATGGAATATGCTTGATTGAATATAGTGCCGACTGGTTGCGATTGATATTCGTTCGAGTTAATGGTAGCGAAAATGAGCAATCAAATAAACAATCAAATGTTGAATTTGTTACCGATCGTTATGAATGAGGACGCGGTGAGGTACTTGGTGTTTGATCGCATCCGTAAGGATATGGTGAGTAGTGCGAGTGCAATTATTGGCAGCACAAACAAGAACGGCGCTTCACGCCTAAATCCGTCTGTCTCGACGTACACTAGTCCGATCATAGCACCGTATACGACCAAAATTTGTGTTGGATGTAGAACTGAAGACATTTTGAACATCTGAAAAAATTGAGCATCTTCAAACAAACGAACAAACAAATTCTGATCGAAATTACACGACAAACACACGGCTAACAAAAAAAAATTACCACAGAGAAAACGTTCGCATCATGGAACAAATTAATTCTATTGAAATTACCACGGACAAGACAAGACAAGACAACAGAAGAAGTGACGACGACGAAAAATTCGCTTTTGAAATTCCCATACGGCTTAGAAAAAGCTTTCTGGAACACAAAAAAATTTCATTTCGGTAATTCTCATCAAGACAAGAGATTCATTTTGAGCCACAGACGTCCTCACGGAGAAGAGTTTAAATAGCGGTTATGATGTGATGGTTGGTAAAATAAATAGAAGATGAGATAGCTCAGAAGCAAGGAGAGCGCACACCTCTTATAAAT